TCGAAGCATAGTCATGCATTAGAACGGCCCAAAGTCCAGACCTATTGAGAATCTGTGGCGAGACTTGAAAACTGCTGTTCACAGATGCTATTATCCAATCTGGAGGTATTTTGAAATACGAAAAATGGGCAAAAATGTATGTCTCTAGATGAGCAACGCTGGTAGAGATATACCCCCAAAAATAAAGTATTGACTCAGATTTTTATTTGTAAAAAATCTTGAACGCCACATATCGTTTTCCTTCCACTTCACAATTACGTGCTACCATGTGTTGGTCTATCACATACAATCCCAATAAAATACATTTAAGTTTGTTCTTAAAATGTGGAAAAGTTCAACTGTCCCCAAGTTGTACAGATGTGACGGTGATATTATCTCCTCACCGTGTTTCCCTCCATGAACTAGACAATCTAAACGTAATGAAGACAAGAGAGTGGTTGAATTTTAAAACATTTAATAACTCTTAAGACTAAAGGTGTTTGTTACCAGTTAGGCTGCACATTAACAACAAGAGTTTTACATTGAGATGAAACACCACAGTTGTCTACGTGTCAGTTCCTGCTCGACCTCCACAGTGCTGCTGAACGCACAGACAGATGACGCACAAACGAGAGTGGCAGCGTGATTTATTATGCACAAAAAGAAAAGTGACAGATAATTCGTCAGAGCGTTTGAATCCGACTCGCCGTCCCGCAGTACCGAACCCCTCGCGCCACCTTGCTGCCTCCGTCCTAAACCCCTCTGAACCACTTGCGATCAAACCATCGACCGAAACCAACCGAAGCGTCTGTCATCCTCGAAATGAAACACAAACAACATCACAACTGAATTTAAGATGCAAACAGATAAAATACACTAAATGAGATCGATGCCGAAGCAGTGGAAGAGACTAGTTTTTAGGGTGTTTCTCGGTTACGTAACAGTGCATTCGAAAAGGGCCTTTTTAAAAATTTACTGATCGATTTAGGCAGCGTCATACTGTACATGTCGGTTAATCACACTGACGCATAACCAAAACAGTTACATAAAAACAGTGTTAGAGTCGACGCTACTCGCACAGATTTCCGGTTTTAACAGAACCGCTCTCAGTCCATAGAAAACAATGTGACGTGTAAGTTCTAGAAAGCAGCAAGGATCCACGAAGCGAATACAAAAATGCACAATGTGACGGTCGACAAATAGAAAAAAAAACAAACATCTGCCTTGAACAAACCTCGGACAGCAGACAGCAGACACTAGCACCATTGGACACAGATGATTCTTACAGTAGGGTTTTTTTTTTTTTACTTAAAGCGTGACTGGACCTCTCATAAACAGCTAAATAACTCCTTAGAAGTGGGATTAAAAAGAAAACTGGCCGCCTACGAGTGGATTTTTCTACTCCGCCAATGTTGTGTCTCTGTCTAAACGTACAGGAGGCTTGTGTTAGTGGGTTAACATTTCTTGAGGTTGTGAGTCCGCCGCATGCAGATCTGTTTCTCCTTCTTCTCCTTCTTCTTCTCCTGCTTTTAATCCCATCGATGGATCTGTGGTCGGATCCTCGGCGGCGAGTTTAGAAGATGGTGCTCCAGCGTTTAGGGGGAGGGCGGGACTTGGTGTCTCCCTGGAAAAAAATAACAAGAAGAAGAAGAAATGAGGAGGAGGAGGTGAAGGAAAACACACAGTTGAAACCAGAAGTTTACATATAAAAAGACATAAAACCTTTTTTTTTCTCACTCTCTGACATTAATCAGACTAAACTTTTCCTGTTTCAGGTCAGTTAGGATCACCAACATTATTTATATTTGCTAAACACAAGAATAATGAGAGAGAGAATTTTTTACTACTTTTTTCAAAGTCAGAAGTTCACATACATGAAGATTACTACGCCTTGAAACTGTTTAGGAAAGGCCAGATGATGATGTCATGGCTTTGGAAGCTTCTGATTGGTTAATTGACAACATCTGAGTTAATTGGAGGCACACCTGTGGATGTACTTTAAGGAACACCTCAACCACACTGCTTGCTTTTGTGACAACATGGAACATCTAAAGAAATCAGCCAAGACATCAGGAAGAGAACTGTGGACCTCCACCAGTCTGGTTCATCCTTGGGTACAACGTCCAGATGCCTGAAGGTTCCACGTTCATCTGTTCAAACAGTTCTATCAGTATAACCACCATGGGAATGTCCAGCCATCATAGGCTCAGGAAGAAGACGGTTCTGTGTCCCAGAGATGAAGTGTTCTGGTTGAAATGTGTGAATCAACCCCAGAACAGAAGCTAAAGACCTGAGAAGATGCTGCTGGAGCTGGTCAGAGACTCATTATCCACAGTGGAACCAGTCCTGTACTGACATGGGCTGGAAGGCTGTTCAGAGAGTAAGACCAAAGACCAAAGACACATCCTGTGGTCTGATAAACCGGAACTGTTTGGCCTTCATGACCGTCGGTACATCTGGAGGAAAAAGGAGGAAGCTTGAAGCCTGAGAACACCATCCCAGCTGTGGAGCA